ATGACATTTCAATATATGTATTATATGTAATGTTCAAATAAGGAAAATTAACATTTATTACCTAAGAAAACTTGTCTTTTCTTTGGGGAACATTAAAAATCCTTTCTATTAGTTATTTTATTAATATTTACTAATAAAATAGATATTTATTAATATTTTAATATTTTCATTTTGTTTTCTTTTGAAACAGGGTCTTCCTGTAGCCCAAGTTGACCTGGAGCTCACTATGTGGACCAGGTTGGCCTTAATCTCACAGAGATTCATCTGCCTCTGCTCCAGAGTGCTTGGATTAAAGGCATGTGCCACCACACCCAGCTTATTTCATTATTTTAATATTTTTACATTATTGTGTATATGTATGTATATGGGTGGGTGCATGGCACAGTGCACATGTCGGGGTCAGAGAGCGGCTTGCAGGAATCAGTTCTTTCCTTCCACGATTGGATTCTGGGAATTGAACCTAGGTTGTCAGCCTTGGTAGCAAGAGCCCTGATCCACTGGGCCATCTTGCCAGTCCTTCTAGCTATTTAAAAAATTTACTTAATTGCTGTCAGCCATAGTTACCCTGTGGTGCTATAGAACATTAGAAGCTATTTCTCCTCTTCAACTATGTCCCTGTACCCATTACCTATTCTCTCTCCCAATAGCCTTCCTAGGCTTTGGTAACCATTATTCAATATATAACCACCCCCTCTTTTTTCCCCAGTGATGGGTAATGAACCTAGGACCTTGCCTATGCTAAGTAAGTATTCTACTACTGAGTTACACCCTCCTGCCCTTGGCTTTTTGAAATGGGGTCTCACTTTGTAAGCCAGGCTGGCCTTGGACTTGAGATCTTCCTGCCTCTGCCTCTGCTTCCTGGGTCCTGAGAGTACAAGTATATAGTACCCACCCATCTCAATACTTCCTTGACATCAACTTTCTAGCTTCCACATATAAGTGAGAACATTGGGTATGTGTCTTTCTGTGCCTGGCTTATTTCACTTAACATAATGTCTTCTTGTTCTACCCATAATGTCATTCTTTTGTAGTTGAATACTATTCCATTGTATATGTGTGCATTATATTTCTTTATCCATTATCTATTGAAAGGTTCAGTTAACTTTAGGCTAAATCTCTTGGAAAGTCACTAGGACGTTGAGGGGAACCAAAATGTGATCCAATATTTGTTTTAGGAAGAATACTCTGTCTGTGGGGGTAGGAATGGAGGAATTAGAAGCCTTTAGACCATTTAGAAAATAAAAATATCCCAGGTAGCTGGTGGTAACTCTCTTGTCTACAACTGGGGCTATGAAGAAGAAATAGTTCCATTCAATCCAATTCAATAAGCATTTCTTTAACATGGTTTCTAGACTTGGCACTGTACCAGGCTTTAGGTAAGTTCCTAAGATGAAGCAAGATACTGTCTCTCATTTTTAAGAACCTCACAATCCATCAGGTTTCATTAAAAACAAGCCAAGAATGAAGAGAGTTGGTAGGTGGACAGTTATGGACTGACTTGTCCATCCTCTCCCCCCTATTCATATGTTGAAACCCTAACTCTAATTGTATACTGTATTTGGAGAGAGGACCTTTAAGAAGGTAATTAAGGTTAAATGAAGTCATAAAGTTGGGGCTGAAATCCAATTGGAGCAGGGCTCCTTAGAAGGAAGAGGCTCTAGAGCTGTCTCCTTCTACTGTGTGCACAGGGGAAAGGCCATTTGAGGACACAGGGAGGGAGAGAGGGTGCCATGTGAGAGCAAGGAAGAGAGGCCTCACCACAAAGCAAGGTACCTGATTTTGGACTGTTGCTGACATCATCTAGCTTGTGATATTTTGTTATGGCAGTTCAGGCAGATGAATATAGACCGGTCTTAAATTTTAAGTCACAGGATGATACAGACAGGACTCAGCTGGGCCATGGACTGAGCACATCTGGAGCTTAGAGGAGACAAGCTTGTGTGGAAGCGCATCTGAAGGACAAATAAGCAGATAGAAGGAAAAGAAGACCTCTCTTAGGAACTCTAGCATGTAGGTGTGTGTGATGACTGGGGATTGTAGGAACCTACTTAGTTATGCCAATGAATTATTGAATTTTATGACATATGGATGGGATGATGGGTAAGAAATTGTAAAGTATGTGGAAAAAAATTCTATGAACTTAATTTCTACTCTATCCCCTCTCCTCACTGACAGATCCTAGGATTTAGATATGGAACCTAGGGAATTTGACATATTGACAAATCATTTATTCATTAATTATTTACTAGCTAGGTCATCAGTTGGAATCTTGGATTGCTTTTTTAAAGCTTTGTCTATTGAATGAAAGTGGCTTGAGGAGAAAAACTAGAATGTGGACTTCTGTCTCTCTTCTACCCTTAGTATTAGCACACAGCTGAGCTTCTAGAGGGTGTAGGCCAAACTTTTGCTTTTAACAATATTAGGCCAGGTGTGGTGGTGCATGCCTTTAATCCCAGCACTCAGGAGGCAGAAGCAGGTGGATCTCTGTGAGTTCAAGGCCAGCCTGGTCTACATAGTGAGTTCCAGGACAGCTGGGGCTACAGGGAGACTGTCTCAAAAAGACCCCCCCCCCAAAATGTAGCTGGGGCTACATTGTTAGAGCATAGTCTTTTTAAGCTTTTGCAAGCTACAAGAATGGTCAAAGCAAGCTATAGTGACTGAAAATTACAATGTTGCCTGACATGTCTCTGACCAGTTAAGTACTCTGGTTCTTCCTCTGACTCTGCAGGCTCTGACAACTCACCAGCAGCTCTCACAAAGAGAGAAACCCCTTCTTTCAGGGGTCCTGGGCAGAGCCAAAGGGAGCTCTCCATTTCCAGTATATGAAATAGGTTTCCCTCTGAGACTTTATGGCAGCAGCCCAGCCTCCAGCCCCTGGGTTAGTGATTCTGGCGCTTCTGTACTACATAAAAAGGGCAAGTGCATTCATTATTATTATATTATTATACAATGTATAATATATAATGGCGATTATGCTGTCAGCAGCCACAGTCTCTGACCACAGATCAGAGACTGGGGTGACATAAATCCACCTAGTGAAGTCTTTGGGGCATCTATGAAAAGATGAGAGATTCCACCCTATCTGTAGCAGGAAACATATGCATATGACTGAAGCCTTTCTTCCCCAGGAACTTTGCAGGGTGAATTTGAAGGCAGGATGTGGATAAATAGTAGCACACCTGGAATGTGATGTAGTCTCCTCTGAGTCTTGGACTCTAATAGCTCTCATTTTTGCTGGTGTTGGATCCAGGGAAGGAGTGACCCAGAGGCTTGGAATGGATCAAGGGGTAGGCCCCCAACTTCTCTGGTCAGATTCTTTTCTGAAAACTTGGCTACCTATTTTCTCTTTTTGCTTTCCTTGCTTTTATCAGTGTCCTTGTCTAGGTTTCATCCAGACACCCTGCCTAGTGGGGGTCAAAGGATTAATTGCCACCTGCCTGTGTCTAGAACAGCTCCTCTATAGGGGCAGAAAGGGTTCTCTGCCTCTCTATGTAGCAAGCTGGCCTGTATCCTTAGTGGCTGAGCCTATGCTTGAAACTTAGTAGGGCAATCTTTTTTTTCTTTTCTTTCTTTTTTTTTTGGTCTTTTTGAGACAGGGTCTTTCTGCAGCCCCAGCTGGCCTGGAACTCTCCTGTGAGTGATCTGCCTACCTCAGCCTCCCAAGTGCTGGGATTAAGGGTGTGCACTACCACTCCTGGCTAGGGCAGTCATATTTTCTTTCTTTCTTTCTTTCTTTCTTTCTTTCTTTCTTTCTTTCTTTCTTTCTTTCTTTCATTTTATTTATTATTTTTATTTTATATATATATGCATGTGTTGCCTGCATGTAGGCAAGTGCACCAGTGTCCTGCAATGCCAGCGGAGGACCGAAGAGGCTGTCAGATCCCCTGGAACTGGAGTTACGGACAGTTGTTAGCTGCTATGTGGGTGCTGGGATTCGAACCTGGGTCTTCTGCAAGAACAACCAGTGTTCTTAACCGTTGAGCCATCTCTCCAGTCCTGGCAGTCATATTTTCACTAAATGGAGACATGTGTATGACTGTGCTTACTTACTTTGGTCTTCCATCTTAGAAGGCATTCAGAAGAGGAGCCGCCCTTCTGACTCAGAAGAATCCACCCCAACAGGCCCAAGCTAAAACAGTGCTGGCTCCTAAACATTACTGCACCCCAACCCCTAGAACTCACTGTTTTGCTAAGCACCTTTAAGAATGAAAACAGTACTGGCTTCCAAAGTCTTGCCCAGGATGCGTTGCAGATAAAGCCTCTCCTCTTGTTATCTCTACCCCCCGGCCCCACCCCATCGCCCTGTGACACCCCACCCCCGCCCCCTTTAACCAAACGCCCCGGGAAGCCCACAGAAGAAGAAAGCTCTTGAGACTAGGAATAACTAACCATCTGAGCACCTTTGCTGGGGCCAAGGTAATGAGAATTATTCAAATGCAATCATAAAAATGAGGCCAGCCAGGCAAGAATGGGGTGAGGGGAGACGCAGGGAAGGGTTTCTTGCCAGTTTTAAGATTCATATTTTCTGGGGAGTTCTCTTGAGGTCTCCAAAAAATTTCACTTCATCTCGGTCCCTTCAGTACCGGATGTCTTGGGGCTCTGCCCCAGCGGATCGCTTAAGGAGGCCTGGACATGGGGTAGGGGATGGCCTGAGTTCCTGGGGTCCACTGAGCTGTGTCTTCCTGGCAACCTCAGGTCTGCAGGCTTTCTCCCCACTGCGCGCTGCCTCCCGCCAGCAGCAAGCAGGCCTGCGCCCGATGCCTGTACTGAGCCTCCAGTAGAGGGAGACACTCCAGCAGCTCGGCGTCTGGGAAGCGGCCGGGGCAGCGAGTGGGTGGGGGCGATGGGGGGGGAGAAAGGGGGAGTGGGGAGAGGGGAGGTGTGC